GCGGACCGGTACCGGTCCGCGGACCGGCGGTTGGGGACCCCTGACATAAAGGACAACAGGTGGATGCACAGGTTAATTCTACCTTCTGCCCTCTAGTGGAAGAGTATTAAATTCTTCTGTTTGTCACTACAGTATATGTCACTGGCATACGTAGATAGAAAGGAAATATCTCACAAAATTGAGTCTAGGCCTTACATTTTAGGATATCTTTGATGTTTTGGAACAGTGAAGAAATACCACTTTGTAGTAGGAAGTGCACAGCTTGCATAGTGTTACTACACACAGCCATTAATGTCTAAACCACTGGCGACCAACTGAGTACACGCCTCGATGAAAATGTCCAAATCGTGTCTAAAGTGTCAAAAGCATACTCTGTTTTGTGAGATACTATCTATTTGTTGTAAATAAATAGTCTTCAGACCAATTAAATGAAATTAGGTAACTCAACTCTAATGTGTTGGAAGAGTGTTTTAAGTCAGGGATTTGGCCAAGAGGTTTTGCAAGCATCAGCTTTGCTGTTTTTGTTTTTTTAAACAATAACTTCTACCTCATACGTGTTGGGATGATGAATTGCGGTTTGTGCAAAAAGTTATTTTTTGAATGTATCAACTAAAAATAAATTATATGTAGTCAGTTGACGTTGAGGTCTGAAAAAAACCCCAATGCTGCAGCTTTGTTGTTTTCAAGAATTGTTTCCTTATCCCAGCAGCCATTTTGATGAATAAAGCATTAGGCAGTCAGACACACTCGGCAAAATTGTTAAATAAAGACGTACATGCTGAATATATTTGTTTCTGTGACTGTGGTGTCAGTAGAAGCATCCAAACCCCCGGAATCATAATGGCACCATCCATCTGTTCATCTTTCATGAATTATGGAGTGCCCTCTCCAAGTCGGGGATGAGATCTTGCCCCATTTTTGGAGTCTTGTTCACGAGTGAGGGTAAGATGAAGTGTGAGATTGACAGCCGGATCATTGCGGTGTCTGCGGTGATGCAAACTCTGTATCGCTCTGTCGGGGTGAACGAGCTGGGCCGAAAGGCGAAGCTCTTAATTTAATGGGTGATCTACTTTCCTACTCTCACCTATGATCACAAGCGGTGGGTCGTGACCAAAACAACAAGATCCCGGACACAAGCGGCTGAATGGGTTTCCTCCACAAGGTGTCTGGGCTCTCCCTTAGAGATAAAGTGAGAAGCTCGGTCATCCGGGAGGGACTCAGAGTTGAGTCACTACTCCCCACATTGAGAGGACCCAGATGAAGTGGCATGGGCATCTGATTAGGATGCCTCCTGGACGCCCCCTGGTGAGGTATTTCGGGCACGTCCCACCGGCACGAGGCCCCAGGGACGACCCAGGACACGCTGGCTGGCCTGGGAACGCCTTGGGATCCCTCTGGAAGAGTTGGATGAAGTGGCTGGGGAGAGGGAAGTCTGAGCTTCCTTCCATCTTCTTCTTCTCCTTTTGGCACGTCCCTATTCAGGGGTCGCCACAGCGAGTCAGTAATTTCCATCCGCCCCTGTAAACCGTCCTACCAACTCGCATGGCCGTCTTGGCAAAAGTTTTACGCCGGATACCATTCCTGACGCAACCCTCCCCATTTCTCCGGGCTTGGGACCGGCACTGGGGAACAGTGCACCCCCAGGGGAGGGCACTGCCCCCCAGCGGCTGGGTTGAGCTTCCTTCCATCTAAATGAACCAAATTGGATCGTTCGAAATGCGTATCAATTTATCTTATTGGAGAGGTACATCTTTTGAAGTCCAGCCATAGTATATCAAATTGGATCGCACCCATGTACCATGATAAACATGGAATCATATTTTATTGGACGGACACACACACACACACACACACACACACACACACACACACATCCATCCATCCATTCATCCATCTGTGCCGCTTATCTTCACGAGGGTCGCAGTAGGCGGAGCTCATCCTGAAGTGGTTTCCAGCCAATCACAGAGCGCGGAGACAATCATTCGAATAAAATAAATAACACTGGACAATTTAGAGCACCTGTGTCAAACTCAAGGCCCAGGGGCCAAATCTGGCCCAAAATCCACATCATTTTATGTGGCCCGCAAAACCAAATCAAACTAATAAAAAGTCAAATCAAGTCAAATCAAATCAAGCATGTTAACTAACTTACATGATGCTTGCTAAAATCTACCAAAATTCATATTCTCATACGTAGTAAATAAGAGAGGCATTTTCTTGTTGCCAAATCCCTCATTACAGTAATTTAAACAACAGTTGAATAAACCATTATTCTTGACTTCCTCATATGGTTTCAGTCATAACTTGAAAGACCAAGCTTGAAAGACACCTGGAAAAAGCCAAAATTCCAAAACATCTGCTTAAAACCAGAACAACAGACTTCCTTTATTAATTGATCATGGTTTAAGACTTTCTGGTGGGTCAACTCATGATTGAAATTGAATGAGTGGCGATTGATTTAAAAAAATATATATATCTTTGGAATGCCCCTGGAAATGGTAATTTCAAACCAAAATGTCAGACTTGTGTTCCAGCTCGGGCTTTTTTTTTTTTTTTTTGTAAATGAACTCCTGCTAGACATGTCTGCCAAATTTCATATTTCTTTGTAAAAATGTCTTCCCAGTGCTAAATTTTGGAGTGGAGTCATCACTTGTTAGCTGACATAGACACCATATGTTCTATTATGATTAGATTCGTAGTCACTGAATTAATCAAAGTTTGACTAATCTTACTCAAAAGCTTGAATGCCATCTGAGTAGAAGGCATCAAATCTTCAGTGCTTTCATGCACCATAGTACAGTTTTGGTTCAGAAACAACAACAACAAAAAAAACTACACCTACAACCTAGAGAGCAGTAGGATCTGGTGAGACGATATGGGATGACGTCCAAAGAAAGTTTACACATGAATTGACACACGAGACAAATGTCTGACACTTTGGAATGCTATTTGTCTGTGATCAAAGATCATATCAATACCATGAATGCCTTTGTTTGAATTCAGGTTTAAGGTATGAAATAAGGTTTTTGTTAGGTCACTTCAGATGAGATATATGACATAATGACAAACACAATACGATAAACCCTTGCCTACTTGGAAAGTTTCTGTCAAACTAAAACTACGAGCTGAAAACTATGGCTTGCTTGATCGCAAACAGCAGTGTGATGAAAGACTGTCGAGTTCTGAGAAACAGCAAGCTTCAGTGTATTTTTTTTTCCATCGTTGAAACAATAATCACTTCCAGTTTCCCTCCCCCTTGGGCTTCCTCTGAGCTGTTACTCCTTTTACACTTCCTGCGAGCAGCTAACTACCCGCCCCCACACACATTCAGCACCATCAACAGCTGCATGCACACTGTCGTGAATGCCGGCCCTTTCCCCATCCTTCTTGGAGGAATGCCTGTCGTTACACGGGGACTAGTGGGAGAGTGAGAAGGCACCTGACACGCACCCTGCATTTTAACTAAAGGGGATCCTCGATTCAAACACAAAACCTCCGATCTACAGGATTTTCTGATTGGCCGATTCCACCTTGACAAGAAAACGTTTCAAAAGTTATTTTTCGGAAAAGGACAGACAGACATAGAAATCGCACAGCACAGCGCCAAACAAAAATGTTACAAAAAGTCGAAGCCAGTGGTTAACTGTTGTCACCTTGGGACTTAAATTTGACTTTTTTTGCAAAGTCTCAACCAGCTTTTATAGAAGAAAAAGAAAGAAAGTGTCATATATGGCAGTGTTTTTCAACCCGTGTGCCGCGGCACACCAGTGGGCCGCGAGACATTGTCAGGTGTGCCGCGGGAAAATATCCAATTTGTATGCCTGTGCAGTCTTTCGCCCAGAAAGTAATCATGTAGTACCCTCCCATACCACTAGGGAACAGCAACAGCTAGCCAATTGCCTTGTGTTTCGACGAGAGACAAGCGAATTTGTGACGCCTGAATGCAGGACGACGGTGAAATAATAAATATGAAAGATGATAAAATACTCTTTTCTTTGTGTTCATTTGATTCCAATTCAAGCTGT